AGAGAGAGAGAGAGAGAGAGAGAGAGAGAGAGAGAGAGAGAGAGAGAAAGAAAGGGGGGGAGGGGGCAGGCAGCCCCTTTTATAGTGGGCAGGCCTACCTGGCTGTTGCCAGGTAACTGTGGGGAGGAGCATACCTGACTGTTGCCAGGTAGGTAGAGTTTAGACAGAACACTAACGTCTGTGTGTGTCTGTGTCTGTGTGTGCGTCTGTGTATCTGTGTGTGTGTGCAGTGCTGTATGTTTGCATCCCAGAGTGCTCATGCATGCACAGCACAAACGTACGAAAATACACATGTCATCAGCTACAAAGAACTTCAAGCCCCTGTGTTCTTAGACGGGCCTGCTTTCCCATAGCCCCATTCACTCCCTCACCTACCCCCACCCCTCCCGTCACAGCAGGTCTGTCAGAGCTGCCTGTTTGTTGAGTGTCAGGGAATACAGCACGCTGTGTGACTTTATACTGAGCGAGGGCTTGGGACCCATAACTTTTGTTTTAATGCTGGGCCTGGACACCAGAGTCTTATGGCTGCCAGGCTGATGCTCTACCACTCAGCTCTGTCTTCAGTTGCAGCTAACGTTTGAGCTGGGATCTGAGGGGTGTCTAGCCTACCATGGGCTGAAAGGGGAGCAGAAAAGACACAGGGTGCCTGCTGAACACCTGTTTGACATCTCTATTTCCACAGCACCTCACTCAAAAAATATTGAGCACACAGCTGGGCATGGTGGTGAACGCCTTTAATACCGGAATTCAGGAGACTGAGGCAGGTGGATCTCTGATTTCAAGGCCAGCCTGGTTTACAGAGCGAATTCCAGGAGTCAGGGCCACAGGAAGAAACAAAACTTTACCACACCGATGTGACTGAATTAGCCCAAGAAAGTTCATGACAGCATCCTCCTACCTTAGCCCTGCTGTGGGTGGGGAACAGAGGTTTCTGGGTGCTTCTCAGACCATAGTTTCCTCTGAAGTCCCTGTTCCAGAGAGGTGAGGAGGGAGGGAGGCCAGTCCAGTGAGAAAGTCTGGTTTTTGAGAACAAGCTGATGCAGATGCAGAAGCAAGGGGAACAACGTCTGAGACAAACGTCAGAAGCTCACCATGTTGGTGGCCTTTACAGTGTGGTTGGCACTGGAAGCTCCAACTTGCCTGCCACTCAACTCCACTCTGACCCTCGTGAACCTGCTTTATTCTGCCTGATGTGTGCTGTGTATGTGTGTGTACGGCTGAGATGAACCATTCTCAGATCGGTCCCCAGGAAATGGTGGATGCAGGCCACATCTATGACCGGTTCCCAGAGAGGAGTCACTCCAGATTTAGGGGCTCCCTGCACAGATCCTTGACCCCGCACCTCTCTATTAACTGCAAAGACAGGGATCAGGCAACCAGGACGACTCTGTTTGAAATCCCAAGTAATTGAAAAAAGGCCGGGGGCATTTGTCCAAAGTCCATCTTGCCTGGAGGCCGGATCAGGGTTGGTTTATACAGATGGCCGGGGCAGACTGGTGGGCGCCTCCTCCCAGGTGGAGGCTTACGCTTAAAGGAGGCACATCTGATCCTAATCTAGTCACAGGACGCTTCCCAGTTCTGCCCAGCTCAGCAAGGATCATTCCCCCGAGCTATTCCTGTCACCCGTGCCCCTCTCTCTGCCCACATGCTGTGGCCGCCGGCCTGTTGCACAATGCACGGGCTAGACGGGGGACGGCTGCCCAGTGGCTCGCCGGGGCTCATCACCAAATTAGGCGATGAAGGAGAACGGTTCTGCCGGTGACTGTGGAAGACACGGAGCAGGCAGAAGATAGAGAGCAGGGAGACATCCGATCCCCGTGCCCAGCTTCCGCCCAAGTCCCAATGGCAGGGACTGCCTGCTGCCCCTAAAGCAATTCTCACGGTGCAGCCGCGTGGCGGCGCCCCCTAGCGGCCGTAAACGGTGGCGCGTCTCTGGCTCGCCCGAGCGCGGCCCCGGGGCCGGCGGTGCGAGCAAGTCTCGCGGGAACACGCGCTCTATTTGAGCGCATGCGCAGCGCGCTCAGCCTTCTTTTCCGGTTTCCGCGGCCGCCGCAGCCATGAGGTAAGCAGTTCTCGGGGCGCTATCCGCCGCCATCCGTGCACCCGGCGGTCCCGAGGACGCGCTGCGGCCCGTCTCGGAGACAATCCCGGCGGCTGCCGGTGGCGCGAGCCCTCTCCCGGCATGCCGCGGGCCTGTCATCCGGCCCCGGGGTCCAGCATGGCCGGCCCTGAGAGCCCTCGTTTCTCCCCAACAGCAGCAAAGTCTCACGCGACACCCTGTACGAGGCGGTGCGGGAAGTCCTGCACGGGAACCAGCGCAAGCGCCGCAAGTAAGCAGGGCGAGCATTTCCCGGGCTGGGCGAGCATTCATTCCCCGGGCCAGGGCGAGCATTCATTCCCGGGGCTGGGTGAGCATCCATTCCCCGGGCTGGGCGAGCATTCCTGCTGTCTGGACGGCGCGCATTCATCCCCCGGGCTCACAGCGTCCCTCTCGCTTAGGTTTCTGGAGACGGTGGAGCTGCAGATCAGCCTGAAGAACTACGACCCTCAGAAGGACAAACGTTTCTCGGGCACCGTCAGGTTGGCACCGCTCTGACCCCACCCAGCCCTCAGTGTCCCCGTGTGGCCTTCCCGTGCCGTTCTGGCCGAGCCCGAGGCGGGCACGGGGCCACTGACAGTGCCAGGGTAGTTCAGGGAGTCCTGCACGCGGGCAGGCTGTCTGGACGGACCCCCACCCTGGGTCTTAAAACAAGAGGGGAGGCGTGGGGAGGCCTCGGCCGAGCCCGCCGGCTAGCCTGAGAAGCCAGGCTAGTGTCGCACAGACCTCTGGGTAAGCCTCGCTGCTACCTCCGACGCCTGCAGCCTGCTGGGATGTCCAGTGCCGGGCGTGACCTGTTCTGTCCCTCTCCTCCCCCTCCAAACGCAGGCTTAAGTCCACCCCTCGCCCCAAGTTCTCGGTCTGCGTCCTGGGGGACCAGCAGCACTGTGACGAAGCCAAGGCCGTGGATATCCCCCACATGGACATCGAGGCGCTGAAGAAACTCAACAAGAACAAGAAGTTGGTCAAGAAGCTGGGTAGGTGCTTCTGGCCCGGTGTTGGGGATACGAGATGAGTTGGGGCTCACCCGGCGCTGAATTGAAGGGGTTGACGGCTTACTGGCTTGCCTCATGCGACCCGTGACCACCTACCCCGCAGGGGCGCCACTCAGTGGGCTTCACATCGAGAAAATTGCCCCACAGGCCTGTCTGGAGGCAGACACCCGGGTGTGTGCAGTTGACCCATAGCTGGCTGGTTTTTTTTTTTTTTTTTTTTTTGGTTTTTCGAGACAGGGTTTCTCTGTGTAGCCCTGGCTGTCCTGGAACTCACTCTGTAGACCAGGCTGACCTCGAACTCAGAAATCCGCCTGCCTCTGCCTCCCAAGTGCTGGGATTAAAGGCGTGCGCCACCACCACCCGGCTGGTTTGGGGTTTTGAGTCTTTGGTTGACGACCTGTGGAGGGGTCACGAGGGTCTGTGGTGTGTTGGCCTCCGTGGTAGCCTCTGTCTTCCGTGGTGGCCTCGTGGAGGTTGGGTATATAGCGGTCAGACATTGGCAGGCCCCTCTTGTCCGCTGTGAGCTAGGCAGTAGTCACACCTGCTTTTACAGATAGGAGAAAGCACCTCCATCTGTTGAGCATTTGGAGAACTGTTGAGTGTCTAGCTGCTGCCAGGGGTTGAGGATAACCCTCTCAGGTGCTCAGGGTCCTGCTACGGAGCTGTATTCTCAGGTGTCATTAAGGTTCCCGGGCTGAACCGTGGCAGGCCTGCCTGGGGCTTCTCAAATAGCTGGGCTTGGTTCGACTCTGACAGATTTTGAGACACCTGCTAAGGTTTTATTTTAAGCATATGAGCAGGCTGTTGCTGACACGCCAGAAGAGGGCATCAGTTCCAGTTACACATGGTCATGGGCCACCAAGTGGGTGATGGGAATTGAACTCCGGACCTCTGGAAGAGCAGCACTCCTCACTGCTAAGCCTTCTCTCCAGCCTGTATTTTGAGACACTTTAAATGCAGGCTTACAGTGATTCTGACATGAGTGCTGGGACTCGTCCACAGCCCCTCAGTTCTTTGCAGTATGCCAGGGATTGTGGGGCCTCCTGGTCTGGGACCCATGTAAGGACTTGAGGATGGAGTTATTCAGTGGTCTGAGGAGACCATCTGGTGGCCTTCTCAGCTTTAAGGGTTGTTTAAAATGCTTTTTGGCTTGGTCCTGAGTAGTCTGTGACTTGTTCTAGCCAAGAAGTACGATGCCTTTCTGGCCTCTGAGTCTCTGATCAAGCAGATCCCCCGTATCCTGGGCCCAGGCCTGAACAAGGCCGGCAAGTTCCCCTCCCTGCTGACACACAATGAAAACATGGTGGCCAAGGTGGACGAGGTGAAGTCTACAATCAAGTTCCAGATGAAGAAGGTCAGCCTGGGCGGGGCATTCACAGTGGGAAGCCGAAAGGAGCTGGGTCTGGGTTCTCAGCCCTGGGCTTCACCTGCATCTTGAAGCCTGGTCTCTGGAGGGAGAGACAGGCCTGCCATGTATGCACTTGCATGCTCACCCCGCTGACCCCTCTCCGTGCAGGTGCTGTGTCTGGCTGTGGCCGTCGGCCACGTGAAGATGACCGATGACGAGCTGGTCTACAACATCCACCTGGCTGTCAATTTCTTGGTGTCCTTGCTCAAGAAAAACTGGCAAAATGTCAGGGCTTTGTATATCAAGAGCACCATGGGCAAGCCCCAGCGTCTGTATTAGGACGCTCCAATAAACCTCAGAGCTGCCATCCAGCCCTTGGTCTGTCTGTGATTGGGGACAGGGGGTGTGTATGGGGGGGGCGTGGAGGAGGGGTGGCTGTGGGCTTTGCACATTTTGCCATACTGTCTTGGCTCACCTAACAGTTCATCTCATTTAAATTCACCCCTGTGGTGGGTAGAATTTAGAACCTAGCTTTTCTAGCATGTAAAGCTCCCAAGGCAATTCCAGTTGTGGTTTGGGGCTGTTAATGTTTCCAGAGGAGGACTCTGGCAATGACAGGCAAAGATGCCTGTAGACTGGTTATCATTTCTGCAGTGGGCACCAGACTGCAGGTTCCGGGTAACACCCATCTTGGGCAGGCCCCTCAAGGCCTGCGGGACTTGACAGGAAGCACAAACCTGTGGACCTGCATAGGCTCACCAGGCTGGCCAGTGATGTAAGGTTCCTTTGAACCACCTTGTTAAAGATTGGTGTCCGAGAAGCACTGAAACTACTCCAGAGTGCATCCCAGCCCCACCGGCTCTGTGGGTGGCCCTGCCTGGTGTAATGTGACCCCAGGGGCTCTCACTCATAAGGTGAGCTGGCCACAGGTGCTGGGCACGCATGTGATGACGGTGGCGGTTGCTAGCATCCCTGTGTCTACTTTTGAGTAGGTTGCATATGGCACAACTATCCTGGCCCAGAAACATCTTTTTAATTTTTTAAAGCAGGAGCCAGGCCTTGAGTGGCCCCTGCTTTGAGCCATTTATGATATAGCCCATCACAGCTGGATTTTAAAAATACAGAAAAATATATATAATACATGTTATAAAACCTAGGTGGGGTTCGGAGGTGGCCTGAGCAGTATGCATTGGTGAAGACCTTCAGGAAGCTCGGGCTGGGTGAGGGGGGCACAGTACTTCATTTGAAACTCATAAATACCCAGGTAGCCTTGGGACCTGGATGTGGAGAAGGCAGAGGCAGCCTCCTGTTCCTGCCACCTATCTTCAGGACATGGGAGGGGTGCCTAGTGGCTGGCGTGCTGGGAGAACAGGAAGCCCTGTCTAGGTTCTAGCCCAGTTGTACCATCCCACAGCACAGCCCCTCCCTCCCCTGTACCCAGCTCTGTGCTAGGGAGGTGGCTGAAACCTAAGCTCCAGCTCTGTCTGCCTCTGTGGGCCTCCATCTTGGCACTGGGAATGGAGACCCAAACTTGCTGTATAAGGGGCCTGGGAACGGGCTGGCACCCAGAAGGCACAGAGAAGTGTGGGCCCTTCTCAACCTATCCCCTAACTTGACACCTTGTACCAGGGCCTCTCTCCGGTCTCATGCTACCCTCACCTGCCCATTACACTCCTCTAGGGACCAGCAACCATACACTAAGCCCCAAGGTGTCCTCCATAGTACAGTTCTGATGTCACTTGAGGCCAGGTGGAGCTTGGTCATCTGTGGCTCAGTTCCCAGGCAAGCCACCCCACCATGGAGCCCTCTTCTCTCCAGTAAAGCGCAGATCAGTGGCAGGGAGCGTGTGTGCTGGAGCCAGAGAGGCAGCCTGGGTCCCAGCCTGAAACCCGTGTGTGGGTAAGTCCCCCAACCCACACCCCGGGAGACCAGGCAGACGTGTGGGGAGGATGTCCATCTTGCATCCAACCCGTGGACGGCGAGGGCACGCTAGTCTTTCACAAGCTTGTAGACGTGGTGCTGTGCCCCATGCTCGCTGGTGGAGACTTCAAAGACAAAAGCAATGACCAGCAGGGTCTCCTGCGAGTCCCGACTTGTGACCACCTACAGGGGGAGCAGGGAGGAAGGAAACAGGACTCGGTAAGGGCAGTGGCTGGGCAGACTGGACTCCTCCAGGCTAGCCCGGTCCCCAGCGAGCCTCGCACCTGCAGGATGGTGAAGTTCTCCAGCACGCTGTTCATCATGTACTTCTCGGGCAGATGCTTCAGCTTGTGGATGAAGTTGATCATGTACTCGCACATGGGCGAGCGGTGGATGCGGTACACGAAGCGGCCGTTCTCCAGGCGGGCGTACTCTGTCTGCAGAGTGGGGGGACGGGAGGGAGCGTGACTGGGTGTCTGACCTGACTCTGCCTGCCGCTCACCCGCCCCCGGCTAGACCTCCACTCACCTCTACTTTCTCTACGACCTGCTTGCCGAAGGAGCACACCTTGGTGGAGACGCTGATGGTCATGCTGTCGGCTGAGCTGTACTGAGAGCTGACCCCGTAGAAGGCCCCAGGGCC